TAGTGCTTTGCCTCAGTGTGGTGGGATCAGATTGGGTGCAATTCCCACACTGTGTCCGAGTCTGTAAGTCTTAAAGAGGAGCAGAAAGTCTCCTCTTTCTGCTGTGGAGCAGCCCAGGTATTTAATTTTAAAAGGTTTACTTATCCTTTCTTAATATTATTGATAATTTTTTATTTTGAAGCACTCGTACTTGAATTTGAAGTTGTTAAATGCTTGCTGTTCATAGTCCATTGCACAATTACCAGAAACCTGCCATTTTTATATTACGCAATCAATTATGTAAAACTAAATGGAGTTTTTAACAAGTAAAGCGTACCTAAATAGAGACATCTAATATAAAGACTAACTTTCTTTCTTTCTTTTTTTCCCTCGAAAAGTCTTGGCTACTTGTGGTTCAGCAGACAGAGCAACTTAGTAGGATAATGAAGACACATGCAGAGGACCTAAACTCTGGACCATTACACAGGCTTACCATGATGATCAAGGATAAGCAACAGGTGAAGAAAAGTTACGTAGGTGTTCATCAGCAGATAGAGGCAGAGATGTTCAAGGTTCGTCTTTGCATTCTGAAGTTCTTTCTTTTATTTGTTATTTTTAACTTTGAGGAAGTATTTTATCTTGTTTGATGCTTTGAAATGGTTTATTGATTATTTTCTGACAAGAAATAGGTTTTGGTATCTCTAATAAGTATTTTCTTATTTTTGAATAGAATTCATTATTGATTACAAGATATTTTAATTTATGTTCTCCTAAGAAAAAGAAAATGCTTTCAATTACCTGTGATACAGTGATTTTATTATTGAGAATTTTTGGTTTTTCTTATTGAAATAGTTTTTTTAAGGCTTTTACAGAAATATAAATGGGTATTATGTAGTATTCTCTGCATACATAAAACATATAGAAAAATAGATTAGTTAAGGCATTCTTCAAGTTTCTTCACATTCAGAATTTGTTCTGATTAATATTTAAAAAAACAAAAATTTTTTGAGGTTAAAAAAAATCTTATTAGGCATATGCATCGAAGAGAAAAGAGGGATGGGAATTGACCTGACACACCATCAAGGTTTTGTCTGAGGGGATCCCTCAAAAAATATTTTTAAATTTGAAATATGCAAATATTGAAAAACCAAACCAAACCAAACTCCTTTCCAATGACCTGATTCTGACTTATAGCCACCCTATATCGGGCTCCTGAGACTGTACATTTTTATGGAAGTGCACAGCTTCCTCTGTCTCAGGTGGAGCCACTGGAGGGTTTGAAGAGCCAGTCTCGTGGTTAGCAGTCCAACACCTCACCTTAAGAGTTACAGGAACTCCCATTTACCCATCGGCCGGATGGCCCCTAAAAAGAAAATGTATACTCTCACTGACCTTTTTCCTCCTAAAGGAAATTCCAGATACCATTTCCATAAATGGTTTTGTATATATTGCTAAAATAAGAACTATAAAAAAGACTACATTACTGCATTATCATTAATAATAAAACTAATACTTTCTTATGGCAATTAAATATACTGTGTTTAATAATTACTGTATAAATTTTTTTCTTACAGTTGGTTTGTTTAAATTAGTATACAAAGGTTTGCATACTGTATTTCAATAATAATTCTCTTATTAAGAATTTCCCCTTCTCTCCTCCTTGGCCATTTACTTTTGGAAGAAATGGATCATTTGCACTATAAAATTGAATTTTTCTTATTTTGAATTTTGCTGTTAGCATTTTTACATATTGGGAAGCATTCACTTAATATCTGCTTATTTATCTTTTGCTAATATTACAATTGATTATTTGGTTCAAGTGTTGTCAAGCTGATGAATCTATTAAAAACCTTTACCTTCTAGTTTTAAAAATTAATGTTGTTCATTATTTAAGATCCTTTATTTTATTGGGCATTACAGTTTGGTGATATTTTACTCCTATCATTATTAATGCAGTTGCTTGTGGAATTTCTTTTAGAAAGAATTTTCCTGAATTAGGTATTTGATAACCTTGATGTAGAATTCACATAGGAAAGGCAAGATAACTGCTGTTTGATTGTTTTTTAAATGTACTTGCTTGTTGTTTTCAGAATAGAAAAGTTGGCAGTTTTCAATGAATTTGCGCAACTATCAGAATGAATTATTTCTGTAGCAATTTCAAAAGAAAACCAATGTGTATATTTTTATTCTATATGTTTTGAACTGATTTATAACATAATTGTTGGTGTTTTTGTTTTTTTCACCTATGATCGTCCTCTTTGATATCAAGAACATTAGTGATGAAGCATTTCTTAAAAACAAGCCTTTGCTATTATTTTGGGATTTTCTTTGATGTTGTGACAATTCAAGTTTACAGTGCTGCAGCTTTTATTTAATCTTCTCAGAAGTATGTAATACAAGGATTTCAGACAACATGTAGGACTCATATAGTATTTACCCAACTTGTTGACTACAAAGTCAAGGGGCTACATATATCTAATATTCTATGGAAATAATAGCCAACTTTATGCATACACTTTCATGGCAGTTGCCTGGCCAATAACAAGTACAAGAAGCATCTGCATATCAGAGGATAAAATGTTAAAATGTCACACACACAAAAATGTAATTTAGAATGAGTGAAATATAGCCTCTCAAAATTACCTTATAAAACTAAAAAAAAATTTCAATTAGGTTTTTGAATTATAGAAAAGATTTTTATACATAGCAACTTAATTTATTCTCACTAAATTTTAGGTGGTGATAGCATGACTCTGAGTTGCTTGTCTTTTTAAGAAAATATGATCTCTTTTCATAGTCCAATGAATATATTAGTGATTTTAAAACTGTTTATTTGCTATCCATTACATATGGAACTGTAACCTATAAGCAGTAAAATATATGTCACTTCTTAGGAGTTTAAGTTCTTGGAATGTAAGCTTGAAAATATAAAAACATTTCTGTATTTTGCTTCTTTGACAGGTTACAAAGACAGAACTGGACAAATTAAAATCCAGCTATCGACAGTTGATCAAAGAAATGAATTCTGCCAAAGATAAATATAAAGAAGCTTTAGCTAAAGGTATGGCAAAGTTATGAAAGACATTTATTTTAATAATTTCCATTCCTGCCATTTGAAAGTTATCTGTATAACTAATACAATGATTCTACTTAGATTATTAACATGTAAAAATCCCTCAATTAACAAGGACAAATTTTCAAACCTATTGTAAAAGTTGCTAATTTTTTTGCTGTTTTAAATGATTCAAAGTAGTTTTAAATAAATTGAATTATGTAATACTTAGAATGTAAGTCATCTTTAAATAGTTCTTTAGCATTGGATTTGCTTATCAATTGATAATTATAATAACTAGTTATTACAAAGTCATTGGTAATTGCATAGTAATAAGAAAAATAAGATTGTATTAGTTTATAGGCCTTTCAAAACTATCCCTTTTATCTAAGGTGTCTAAAAGCCATTGTAACCTGAGATGTTTTTATAGAATTATGTTATCTGCATAGGTTAATTTTTTGTATCTCTATTGAGCTAACATATTCATGAGAACTTTTAGAAGTAAATGGATATCGAAGTATATGTTTTTGTTTTCAGTAGATTTATGTAATAATTTTTGTTACAAATTTTAATAAAAATCTGATTTACCTAATGTTAGATTTTATTAGACATTAAACATAGATTATGAAAAAAAGCTTCTTTGGGCATTATTCTTATTAGTGATATTTATGTTTCAAAGTGACAAACTAATCTTCATTTTAGTATTTTAGAATATATGTTTTTTCCCTTCCCTAGATAACTATAAGCTCCATTAAAGATTTCAGACATTAAGTATAGCTCAATAAAACTAACTTTTTAAAGCTTCGTTTACCTTTTATTCTTAGTTTACTTTTCCCTTTATTAGAAAATTTTTTTACTTGTTACATATTTTTTTATTAATCTGTGAGAAAATGACTAACTCCTACATTCTATATCCTATATGATAAAATACTTTTCATTACTTAGGAATGATATGGATTTGAAGGCATTTGTTCCACAGTATCTCCTTTCATTCAAACTCTCGCAGTTTTCATAATGTTAGTGACACTCCACTCCCACTGTTGTCTGCTTGCCCATTTTCTCAATGTTGACTCTTCTCCACACACACACACACACACACACACACGCGCACGCGCACGCGCACACGCACACACACACACACCCCTTTTGCTGCCATTGAGTTGGTTCTGACTTGTAGTGACCTTTCTTTAGCGCAGGATATAAACTGCCACTGTGGGTGTCTAAGATTGTAACTCTTTCTGGAGATAGAAAGCCATATCATTTTTCTCCCCTTGAGAAGTTTGTGGTTTCAAGTAACTAACCTTGCTAGAAAATTAATAATGATGAATTAAAATGCTGGACAGTTTCTCTAAAACTTTCTTATAGAAGTTAATTGAAAGAAATCTGTTTTCAAAGTTCATGTATTTATCAGTAAACTTATTTCTTTTCTATGAAGAGCATGAGTTAAATAAAGTTTAATTAGTGACAATTAATAAAAGAAATTATCGTATTACGATGACATACTGCGATGATTTTTTTTAACAGTTTTACTGGATTTCTTCTTCCTTGCTCATTTGATCAGAGTTGTCTGAGTATATTGATTATCACTTTTTTTAGCTTCACTAATTTTTCCACTCTTTTAGGTAGTAGAAGTACAAATATACATACATGTTTGCCTCTGTTCATATGCCCTGTAGTACTTTGTTTCAAAGTGAACATATTTTTAAAAAGTAAATGTAAGTTAATTTTATAAAATTTCAGTAATACAATTCTGAACCACATGACACTGAATGAAAATATCTAAAAATGATTTTGCTTTGAAGGTTTGAAGTGTACTTGGAGACATACTGAAGTAACTACTTGTTGTTTTGATTTTGCCTGTCATTGGTTCTGTGGGGCTACAATTGTACTTGAGTTTTATATTGACCAAGCCTCAGAATAACAATAGCATTTGTGTGGCTTCTCTTGTAGGTAGGTGGCAGCCTGAGTGCTTTTGTGTCCCCTGAATCATGTTCAGGAAAAAGAAAACTGGCAGGTAGAGCTACTGAAAAGTACATGTGGCCACAATAATCTATATAGAGAAGCATGGAGTTCACTGTACCCTCCTCTTTTATTACCGGAGGTAATAAAGCACCTGTTGGTGCTGCTAGGTAAGCGTTGGACTACTGACCACATGGTTGGTGGTCCAAACCTTCCAGCTGCTCTGTGGGAGAAAGATGAAGCTGTCTGCACCTGTAGAGATTTACAACCTCAGAAACCAATGGCACTAGGCTTTTTTACATTATAGGAATAGGGAAACATTTAATGCTAATTAAAATAATCTAGTTATTTTTATGTTCTTTTTTTCTTAAACTTTATTGTGAACTAGGTGAAGGTTTACAGAGCAGATAATCAATTTTACATTCAACCATTCCTACTCAACTTTATTTCAACTCATCCATTGAAGTTCCCTCAGTGTATCGTCACTTGGTCCACTTCTCCCTGTTTTACCTGTTTCCATTGCTTTTTTTATCCCCTATCCCCCTGCAGTATGCCCTTGGATAAATGCTGTCCTTTTTATCGTAAATGACTGAGTATTCCAGCACGGGCTGGGGTAGAGTGTTCAGTTCTAGATCTGAAGAGTGACTAAGGGATGTAGTCATAGAGATCTCACTTGTCTCTACCTCTTCTTTCTGTGTAAGAAGTTGAGGCCTGAAGTTTTAGCAAGCTTACTGATCCTTTGTTAATTTAAGCAGATAGAATAAAAGGAGACCTGTTGCTTGAATGGCTAGTGGGTTATGGGTTGCGGTGCTAACTGCAAGGTTGGCAGTTTTGGAAGTTGGGACTTTGACTCCTGTGAAGAGTTACAGTCTCAGAAACCCAAGGGTACAATGATACTTTATCCTATAATGTTGATATGGGTCAGAATTGACTCAATGGCAGTGAATTAAATTATGGAATCCTTGAAATATAAAGAGGTAGCAGCTGCAAGTCTTATTCAAAAGTAGGTTTTTCTGTAATTGGGAAGTAGAGTTTAAAAAATTTCCTCTTCATGAGGTGACTTCAACTATTGAACAACCTAGTAGGACAGAGCAGAGTTGCCCCATAGTTTTTTTTTTACAGTTTTGAAGACTAAATCTTTATAGAAACACCCTATCACGTTTCTCACAGGAGTAGCTGGTGGATCTGAACTTCTGATGATTTGGTTAGCAGCCAAGCACTTTACTACTGCCTCATCAAGGCTCTTGTATTATGAATAATTCTGTGCTATTTTATAGCAATTAAAATTGATTAGATTCATTGAGTTGTTTCTTTAGAGTACTTTAATTATGAAAACTAGTTTGAAATGAGTCCAGCCTTGAGGCAGATGGTTAAATTCATGTCTAAATAAATCAAAATTAAAAAAAAAAAATCAAGGTATCTTTTATATAAAAAGGGTCTCTGTTGATTTCTTTAGTTTGAATCTACAGAGTATATGCCAACTGACCTACTTTCTCAATAGTCTCTGGTTTAAATCTGTTGGGAATTAAAAAAAACCCAAACAGAATAATGTATGGTTCAGTGAGGAAATGCTCTAGAAAATTGTTCTTTAATTAATATTTTCCTCTCAGTTCAATTTATGGAAATGCACTTTGCATGTAGCACTTGCTAAAGACCAAAATAGAGTTCAAGTTTTGTTTGTTGATCATTAATTCTATTAAAGTGATCTTGGAATGAGAGACTTCCTCTTTTTATGTACCTACTCATGAGTCCATGCTATAGCAGCTAACTTGTGGCATGAGTATGTTTCACTGTATGGTACATAATATGATAGGAGCTTCCTAAGGCCATAAGAGTAATGGTGCTCATACCAATTAATCTGATTTGCATTGGGCTAAAATCCTGGTGTCACAGTGGTTAAGCACTCAGCTCTAACCAAAAGTCACCAGTCGCTCTGCGGAAAAAAGATATGCCAATCTGCTCTGATAGTGATTTACAGCCTGAGAAAGCGTGTGGGGACAGTTTTTGCTTGTCCTTGTGTCGCTGTGAGTCTTAACTGGTTTGTCTTGTTTTTGTTTTTTATTTTAAAACTGAAGAAACCATCCCTTATTAGCTGTGGACATCTTTTGTGGGGTAGACTATGCAGTGTGATTCATTTATATTCTACAGATTTCCTAAACATAAAGTGAAAAGATGATAACTTAATTTGTTCCTAGTTTGCTTAGTTTGACTAAATAAAGAACAGTAAGTAGTTACATACAAAAGAGAAATTGTGTCCTTTTGCAGGTATACTAGGTGAGCTTCTTAGTAATATTAGGTTTTCACTTGACGTTTGAAAGATGATATAAACTGATGTGTAACATAAAAGCTGTAGTCTTTTTATAACTTAGCTTGTATGAGAATTAAATTTAAATTTATATTTCAATAAAAAGTACGTCAATTTATACATTTAACATTTATTTATTGATTTTTTTTGCTCTGTGTCCTGTACCAGGGTTAATAAAATAACAACAACAACTAAAACCAAATGCACATTATTTTAACCCTCGCCTCCTACTAAATTATCTTTCTAAGACGGCTGCATTGACTTTTACTTAGACTGTTGGGTGTTTTTCTCGAGTTAGTGCTGTGTGATTTAATGTGTGATTTACTATCCCCTTCTTTTTCCAGTATTTTTATATGAAGGATGAGTCCATTCCTTATGGTGGCTTTAGGTCAGGCTTAGACATATTTCTGGTTCTACTCTTCTCCCCTTAGTCCACACCTCCCTAGCTCCTACCCCATCCCCCAACAGCCCTAGTCATCATAAGGCTCCCGTGGGGCCAGTCAGATATCACATGCAGAGATCAGATGTTTCTTTTACTACCACTCTACTGGTTGCTGTTGAGTACATTCCTATTCTGTGTGACCCGGGTGTACCCGAGTAGAACTGTGCTCTGTTTAGCTTTCAATGGCTGACTTTTCAGTAGATAACCAAGCTTTTCTTCTCAGGTACTTCTGCTTATTAGTTATGTTGACAGTGTGGTTTTTATTTGTTTTTCTTGTTCTTTATTATACTTTTAGATGGCATG